CCAAAGCACTAATTTTCCCAACACAAACACCGTTTTTAGCCCTCCACACACACAAAAAAAAAACCCATCGGTGGACAAAATTGTTGACTTGTACCCACCATAGATGATGTCCTTCTAACAATGTCATTTTATTTTACCGCTTCACTTGTCCTTACGATGGAAGAAAACATAAAAATTGCCTTTTATATGCATCAAAATTTCGCAAAAGATAAAGAAAAACAAAAGCATGGCAGTGCGTACGCCTTTGTGGTGGCATCGAGTCTTGGCATTGGCTGTGCCTCTCCTTTCAACACCGAGGCGATCCTCACACACTCATTAGCAATGAAGGAACAATTTGTTGCATGAAAGAGGACATTTTTGTCTTTACATTTTGCATAGCATCAATGCATTGCGTGTCCACTGCATCACGCGATGCAATACTGAGAGGGTGAGAAGAAGAGGACAAAAAAAAAGTAAAAAGAAACAAAACTTACGTCGAAATTCATTCTCATTGACATGCGCATTAGCAACCAGCATATTGACATTGGCAATGAGGCTGGTAATAATGGCAATGCCTATCAATCCCTCGAATATGAGAAAGGCGTAGAGTTGTCGAGGGTTGCCCCCTTCGGTGAGGTGATGAGGCGCCTTTTGAAGGGTCAGACAAAGCAAACTGTCATGAGCTGCGCGTAGATAAGTGGTTAAGACGTCATTGGTGGTGTTGTGATGTGTACCGAGGGATCGCACTGCCGACTGATAGAAACACACATTCCAATGCAATCCGGTTAGAGTAATGATGATGAAGCCAAAAGCACGGAAGACATTTGGATGGATGGTGTGACGTTGAGCCATGTCAATGCTTTCAAAGAGTTTGTAGAGCTTTACAAAACGCAGAATACGTAGAAGTGACATAACACCCACGGAAATGTAGAGAAGATCGAGGGGCAAAATACACAAACAGTTTAGATAGAAGCGTATGGAGTTGAGATAGTGTTGTCGAGTTTTGCGCAGATCCTTTTGAAGGATTCCATTCTCTAGGTAGGCGATCCGAAATCCCAACAAGAGATCAAGGAAATAGAGACCGTCTGCAAAGTAATCCAGTGTAAACCACACTGAGGCGGTGACACGTGTGATCTCATCAAAGGCGAAACGGAAGGGAATGATCCACACATTGTAGAGACATGCCACACAAACCACCCAGGACCAAAAGAAGACACAACTGCCATCTGGTGCCAAAATGAAGGCCGATTTAGAGGCGCGCTCAAGACTTGTCAGCAAGCCTGTACCTTCCTCTCCCGAAGTGTTTGGTGATGCATCTCCATGGACGCCAGTGGCCTTTAAAACGCCTGGAGAGGAATGTTTGATGTCCTCGTCGAAGAGACTGCGTGGTGGTGCTCCACTATAGCTATGCCATCGGATTCCTTCAACATGCTGAGAGGAGCCCATAAGTCGGTGATCACTCATTGCTGGACGCAAGCGTGAAGAGATGCCTCTTTTGTCTCCATTATGGCTGTCTATACTACTTACATGACCTTTGCCACTGAGATTAATGTCAGAGTTGGTGTCACTGGATGATCGACGAGGCAGACTGACGTTGAGACGCAGGCACGAGGAGGTCTCCTTGAACGTACTCAATGTTGTGTTTGCACCTAGCGATGGGATGCACTGAGAAGTTTGAACGGGATGAGAGGGCATAGGCTAGTGGGTTTGTGCCACGGCCTTGTGTTTGTACTTCTGCCAATGCTGCTGCTGTTGCTACTGCTTCCGCCTCTGTCGCCACGGCACAACGTAGTGAACGCGCTGTGTCCTCGACTTCCCATTGGCTGCTTCTCGCACCAATGACCGCTCAGCGTCCACATACACGTCCAATTGGCATTCGAGGAGAGGGAGGGTCAAACTGTCCTCTTAGGCAACAGACTACAATTCAACATCAACGCTTTCTCCATCCGCAATGTCCGGTGGCATATGACAAGGTGACTCATACTTCAGTCTCCAACCCGATGACCATCACTACATCAAATACCATTGACTTGTTAGAATCAAGTCCCATCTTTTATGCTAAACTCTGAGTGGCACTACGCCCTCCCACTTGGCTAAAGTAAATCATTTGCTCCTGTTTACCAGCAAAAAATAACAACGGCAGCAATTATTTGTGTCGCCATGGCCACTGAAGTAACTCACTTATATGAGGTAAATATTTTGCGCAATGTGAATGTATTTCGCACGAATGATTCATCGGTCCGGATAAAGTCTCGTTGCAAAAAACTGGACATCCACCTGACATCTGACGTTGAGCCCACAATAATGCCTAGGCTGGGGTGCACACAAATCCATGTGAAATGGAATTAATCATTCCTGAAAAGATTAGAAAAAAAGGAGTACTACCAGTTGACCTTTAATCCAATCACCTAAGGAGAAAATAAAAGTATCTTGTAAAACTCTTCTTTCTTTCCAAACAGAGGAGTTGGGGAAAGGAACAACTTTCTTCTTACACAAATATTTTACAATATGTGAACTCACTTGGGAGTAGACAAATGTATCCACTGTTAGTCGAGGCACAAGGGAGGTTTGCCTTACCTCTTGTCACTTTCTCCTTGCCTCTTAAGACGCCATGCCACAATCTCTTTTGAAAACTCCAACCTCAAACTTTATTTGTGACAATATGCTGAGCACAGAGGTAGATCGTTTTACGGACATGTTTGCGTGTGGGCAATTGAAATGCTAGTGTTTGCACTCCTTCTCGACGGACGTGCTCTCTGACGGCACGGCGGGTGGAAATGCCGTTGGATGACTTTTCAATTCCTTTTTGCCGCAATCAAATTTGTGTAAGGTGGCGCTCCGTCAACGTCATCGAGTGGTCTGATGTGCTGCTGTACAGCAAGTGAGTTGAACAGGAGGGAAAAATCCCATACCCACAGCAAACATCCTGTGCTGATGGCAAGTGATGTGGCTTACAACTTTGGTGGCTCGTTTGCTCAGAACCTGGGACCGAAACAAAGAAGAATTTCGGTTTTCACAGGTGCAGAACACAAAAATTTAAATGTCAATGTCAATGTCAATGTCCATGAGATTTTACGTCTTAAAAGCCACAAAGTGGAGGCAAAGGCAGGAGAAGAGGAAGTGAGGTGAGAACTTTACCCAAATGGTTGTGTAGAGATGACACCGATGTCTCCATAACAGCATCATTAATTGCTCCAATTCCTTTTGGCAATTCCAGGAGTGCCTAGGGGCAAAGGTGAAACCACCAAATTGGAGAGATTTCGAGTGGTCCACTTGCCTTCCACACAAAGCATGCAATGCAATTGCATTTTAATTTTAACCGCCGTCGAATTCGCGGTGTAGTGGGGACAAAAAATAACAGTTGCATTTGTGAAAATTGAGTAAATTAATTTTTATGGGATTAGCACTAACAAATTAACAATTTTGAACAGTCGGTTACATCATGCTTGTTTCCAACTGCCCAGATGTTGGAATTAAACACACACGTTGGTAAGTTGGCCTTGGAAAGGGAAATCACAGCACATCACAACTTCAGCGACGGGACCTGTTATAAGCAAATCGCAGGTAGCAATGGATGATAGCAAGTGTGAGGTACCGAGACTTCCAATTTGGTGCGAGAAGGCGTGGAGCACGGCTGCATGCTTTTGTTAAGGAGGAAAGGGTATAATTAGGGCCATCGAATTGGTCCCATAGTCAAGAGTATAACAACCACCAATTGGCTCCAACTTATACAGGCAAGCGTCTCTCTTCGTTTGAGCAACGTCTTTGGTGACCCTGCCCTCGATACACCTTCCTCGCCAACCACCGAAGTGTATTTGGTGCTGCAAGGAAAAATACGTCAGCCAGTCGCGCCATCCGTCATAAACTATGATGAGGGCAAATGTACTTGACCCTCTCAGCTGTGTAGATACGTTCGGTCTATTAGTGGGAGCCGAAGGCAGGACTTTCTGTTGGTTCTAAAATGTATTCTGGATCAGAGGTTGAAACACTGGTCGAAAACAAGTGAGCGGACAGAAACAGAGATCAATGAGGAGAGGTCTACTGACGTAAAATAAGTAGGCAAGTAAGAGATTTAGTAGAGGATGAGGAGGCTTGAGTGAGTGAGTAATGAGTGCACTGCATGGACGTGAGATGTGGAGGCGTGGGATGTGTGAGTGGTGAATGGATGGAAGAGCAAAAATTAGGCTACTCTGTCTGACATACTGCTGGTACATGATTGTCATGCATGCACTTGCTCCTCCGCCATGCCACGGGTCCATGGCTGCGGTAGGCAGCAGGACAAACGTGCTGACGGCTATTTGCTGAGACGTAGTATCAAGCGGTAATCATCCGCTGTCTCCACCGCTCCGACCTCAGCCTGCGCCCCCCACCTCCTACCCTCGGCTACAGCTGTGCGATGGCATGCGTGCGGTTGCTCCACGCCTCGGCTCAATGGATGCGATATTTGAACAATCGTGCTGAAGGCTACCCTCTGTGCCAGCCGTTAGCTGGCTCCTAGTTCTCCATCTTAGCTTTCCTCTCCGCCACCTACGTCTTCGCTACAGCTACGCGGTTGTCATTCGCCATTCTATGGCCTCACAGACTTTGCGGCTCCGGTAAAAGGCCAAGCGTGCTGAAAGCAATATGCCAAACAGTAGTCCTTTTGACGAGTCATCCGCTTCCATTTCAGCCTCTGCCCCTCTACTTCATGCCACGGCCGTGCAAAATAACGGCTATGGAAGCAGGCAGACCGAGCCGTGACCTATAAGCCATGTCGCATCGGTAGCTTAGCTTCTTCTACCACATGCAAGTCTCGCGTCTCCGTAAGCACTTTCTGCGATTGTCCTTCCAGCCATGCATGGTTTCCCTATCATTCCTGTAACGATGCCGCCGTTCATGTCTATCTTGCCTACAACAATGTGCCGACACGTGAGCGTCGATCATTGCCTTTATATCTGTGCATAGTTTGTTACGCGAAAATTTCAAAGACAAGCGCCAATCACCCATCGTTATTCTACCATATGACTCATCGAGTTTAGTAAAAAACAGTTTGTGCCTAACGTAGATTACATGCTTTATGCCGCAATACTACGCATACTAAAATAAATTTGTATATTACATTACGCACATTTGATCGGCCTCAAATTACTCGAAAAATAGTATGCCACATTGTTTAATTGTGGTACAAAACAACATAAGTTGAATAACCAACGCGTTATGAATAACATGCATATTTCCTATAATATATTAATAAAACACATTACATGTTATAAAGAACTTAAATTTTATGCGTCGTGTTCTATTTTATATGTTTTAAAATGTTACTGTTTGCATATTTGCAGAGCTCATTGTACAGTAGACGCAAAATTGGGCATTTATATTTCGCATTAGATGCTATTTATTTGCGTACTATTTCGTCTATACAATCTGTTGCCGACAACTTGCATCATTGAACATCGTAAAATGATGCATGCATTATGTGTTAAGTTTTCGGTTTTCATATTTCTTGCATTAAAAATTGAAAGGTAAACTATATGCACGCAAATAGCTTAATTAGCACACATTATGTGCCGATATGAAACAATTGCATGCCTAATGAGGTCATCTGCAGGTCACATGGCATTACCAGGAGCCTGACAACGGTCTCCAGGCTCAGACACTTAGTCATATGCCGTCACTGGCACCCGTCCTCTCGATCCAAAGACCGCGTTGCGTTACAAGGTTTATTGGCAAACCCACCAGGCTCTACCAGAACGTCGCCCAACTTCACCGGGGCCTCGTTATCGGTCCAGGAGTCACTTTAATGTCCTATTGCGTCATCGGGTGTGCCTGTGGCTCATCTAGGCGCTCATCCGTCCCACGGAATGAGTGGATTGAAGGAAGTAATATTCAGTTTTTGTTACAACAAAGGACACTTTAAGAGTTAGTGTAAGACGCTCATGCAGTTCTCTTTGTGCTGTCAACTTCCCTTCTTCTAGAAGTAATGGGCAATCGGTAATGAGTAGCTTTCATAGCTCATGGACGAAGAATGAGAAGACAGGTCAAAATAGGCACCATCCTCTCCTCTGCGTTTCCGTGGATACGCAATTCCCCTTGCTTACAGCACCAAAAACATCTTACAAGCAGAAGCTTATCAGAGGGAAGAAATGGGTTTGAACCTCTTGATTTAGACATGCCAAATAGCGAGGAGGAACAGGACACACATCCGCTTTCCTACGTGGGAACGACGCGTAGGATAGGCTGGTCATTTATGACTGGAAAACGCTTTTAATCCTCTAAAACTGCCGCTTTGTGCAGGCGCTTGGTGGTGGTAGAGGTGAGCGGTAGAAGTGCAAAGGTTGGTGCAAGTGAATGCGATGAACATCGCACGTGAGGCAGACCGGTAG